AGAGGGAGAAGCAGGCTCCCTGCTCAGCAGGGAGCCCAATGCGGGGCTCAATCCCAGAATCCTGGGATCAGGACCTGAGCCAAAGGCAGATGCTTAATGACTGAGCCACCCAGGTACCCTGAAATAAATAAAATCTTAAAAAAAAAAGAAAAAGAATGAAAGCAAATTAATGTCATCCACACATACCTGATCCAGTGATGTTCCTGTGTCGTGGGCAATTACTCTCAGTGGCTGGCTGCCAGTTCTGATTAGGTGGACTCCAATTTTTTCTACAATCTCTCCAAAATGCTCTTGCAGCAACAAAGAGCAAAGTTTAATTTCTGCTTGAGTCATTGTACTGAGGAGTCTCAGAGCTAGGGGGAAATAAAGGCCATATGTTGGAAAATTTTTCTCTTATGGTGGAAGTAGAGCTGCTGAGTGTAAATTCATGTACTTTCTGGAGGGCAATTCTGACATTATATATTAAAAAAATTTCGTTTTAGATACTCTGTCTCAAGAAAATAATAAAAATGTCACTGTTATTCTCCTTATTATACTGATATACTGGGAACAACCTAATGTCTAATAATAAGGAGTTAATTCAATAAATGATGGCATACCCATACAATGGAATACTAGCCACCATTTAAAACAAAGTATAATACGTATGAGCACAGAAAATTGTTCATTAAGTGAAAGAAGCAGGTTAGAAAGCAAAATGTAGAGGAGAATTCAATTATGAAAAACAAAAAAGAAAAATATGTATGCATAGAAAAAAAAGACTGGAAGACTATATGCCAAATTTACCTTTATGGGATTATATGTGATTCTGATTTTCCTTAAAAATTGGGTGTAGATGGTTTTGCGATGTCACAGACTTTAGATTCTATACTTCATTGATTGGAAGAATTAAGGCCACTGTTCACAGCCCACTGGGAATGAACAGGTAGTGTCATTCCCAGTCCATAAAGAAAATGACAACTTAGAAAAAGAAAATGAGGTAAAGGAAAGCTTCTCAACTGGGTGTTTCAAATAGGAGATGAAGTATGTTGTCTGAAGGGCACTATTTAATTCTAAAATTTCTACTCCTTAACAAAGTAGATACAAACAGAAACAGACATAGTGACTATACAGTATAATTACTTCCTTATTAGTTTGTTCATTTATTCTCCCAAATCCCCAGAGGCCGAGTCTTTGCCTCTCAGCTCAATATTCCCATCCACACGTCTTTGGGGCACCATCCCCAGACCCTGTGCCATCCCGGAAAAGGACTTCCAAGGAGCTTAGCTCCTGGCTCTTCATTCCCTTCACGCAGGCTCCCGTTCCAGACTTGGTGCCCTCGTCCAGAGACGGGGCCGCTTCGTCCAGGGAGCTTTTTCCACTAACCTCTGGGTCAACGCAATCTAACGCCGCCGAGAGTCCACGGCGGCTTCTTGCGGCTCCCGCTGGCCGCCGGGACAGAGGGGGAGCCCACGGCCCTTTCTCGCAGGAGGACGGACAGCCAGGAAGAGGAAAAGGGGAACAACGCGTGCCGCTCTACCCCAGAGTTTCGGTGGTTTCCGGTGACGCTCTTTCTTTCTTCTCGCTGGAAGGCTGGAGGACCTGCGAGCCGCTGTCTGAGGAGCCGGCGGGCGGGCTGCGGCGGGCGGACCCTCCTTCCTGCGCCTCTTTGGTGCTGGGAGGCGGGCCGCGGGGTCGCCGTCCGCGCCGCCGGCTCGCTGGGCCCGGCGGACTCACGTGACCGACGCGGGCTCTGGAGCGGCCGGCCGCACTGAGGAAGCGGCAGCGGCGGAGGCGGCGACCGCAGCCGGGAGGTAGCGGCCTGGCAAGGGACGGGCCGCTGCCCTCTCGGACAGCCGCGGCGGAAGAGAAAGATGGCGGAGGCCTCGGCGGCCGGGGCGGGCGCAGGCGCTGCTGTCGCCGCGCACCGGTTTTTCTGCCACTTTTGCAAGGGCGAGGTCAGCCCCAAACTACCGGTAAGAGCCCCGTACCCTCTGCGCTTGGGCATCCGCGTGGATCCTTCGCCTCGAAGTCCCCGAATGGGTCTTCACCTTCTCGCACAACCCTGATTTCTCTGACACCAGTCTCGCAAATACGCTCTGCTCACTGTTTTCTGGTCGCTGGCCCCAAATCCCGGGCGTCCCGGCCCTGGCTCCGGAACTCCCGCCCAGCCCATTTCCCCCTCGGATGTTCCACTTGCCCCTCCCTCCCTCTCTGCCCTTTACCTGTCCCCCTCCATCTTTTTGTCTTTCTTAGCAAGTTCTCTGACAACTCTCGCCTCAGTTTTCTTTCACTCTTTTTCACCTTGTCTCCTTCCCACGTTGACCTCTCTTTCCCCCTCTCGATACTCTTTCTGCAGTTGCTTCTCACTTTTCTCTGTGGCCTTTTCCACTTTTAACCGAATCCCCCTCCCCCATCCCCAGTGGAGCCAAATAGCGGATTGTTGAAGATTGTCCCTATTCGGTTGTCTCTAGGGAAGGAAGGAAGAAAGCACGAAGAGAAAGAGAGGGGTGGCAGGTAACTGCGGGGAGGTGAGGAGGATTTTGCTCTTCAGTGGTTTCCAAGGCTCTTGTGAAAGTGAAAACAAGTATACTAATGACTTGCAGACTGCCTATGCTCCCTGTCACTATTGAAGGAAATGGCTTTAGGAAGAAGGCAGGACATATTGTTGCAACTTGGTTATTTTGGTTGTCCTGCTGCCAGTGTCTTTAGCATCACCTCCCTTCCCCGCCCCTTCCCCGATTCTGTCTCTTCACTTAATAAAAAGATCCAGGACAGAATGCTGGGGACTGCATCCTTTGACATAAAATTGGTTTTTACCAGTTTCTGCCCGATTGTCTGTTAGCCCCTGGAGAGGTGGTGCTACCGGTGTGAAGAATGTGCTTCTGCAGCAGGCTAGCCAGCTGCAACACTCCAAACCCAGCTCTTTTGGGTTGGGTTATAAGCTATTGCAGGGAGACCCACAAGGGTGAATTGTAAATCTACCCTTGGCCAACCATCCTGAGAATTAGTTATGGTTGTTCTTTTCCTTGGAAATATCCAGGTTCAACCTTAAGACAGGGTGACTACATAACTCTACCTCCGTTATTTACTGTCTCAGATACAGTCTGTGAGAAATCCTCCTAAAGTGTGTCTGCATGCATGTCTTGTTCCTTAGAAACACAAATGGAGTCTAGTGATTAAGTGTGTCAAGGGTATTTTAGCCTTTTCACCCAAAAGTTGTGTTTTTTTCAGGATTTTATGGCATTTTCTTTCCTCTGTTTGCCCCACACCCTCCAGGGTCATAGTTTTATCTATGTGCTATTTTACTTTTGCTTGCTGATTCAGCTGTGTGTGTGTGTGCATGCCTTTTGCTATATTTCAGTGCTAAGAAGAGCAGGTGCCTTGGTTTTTTTGTTTTTGTTTTGCCAGCGGACACCAGAGCCTCCGGAACTCTCTAACCACAGAGAGGGAGTCTGGAATTCAGCCAGTATGTGTGTGACCAGTGCCACGCTGAATGTGATGCCCTGTTGAACATTGGAGTCTTCTGATCTTTAAGTGCGGTTCACTGTTTGCCTTTAAGAGTGAGAAAACAGTCTAACTTCCCAGAACTTATTATATCTTCTCTTAACATCTCAAGTCCCCACTTTGTGCTCTTGAAAAGGGATAGGTTGAAAGACTTGGTAGGTGTTTTTATAAGCCTTTGTTTGATGCCTGGAGGAGAAGTTCTTGACCTTTTCAGTCTCATTTATTATCTGTCATGCCTGATGTGTAGATTGAATACTTTCTGCATACATACAAAGTTCTCAGCTGAATGTTCTGGAGGCAATACCAAGGAATATGTGGTTCCTGCCCTTCAGGGCCTCACTATGCTATTGGAAAGACAAGACAAACATGGAAAAAGTAACAACATAGGTGAATGAGGGTGGATAGTATGTGGTTTAGAATTCAGTGAGAGGGGGATATGATAGCATTGGTGATGTGAAGTCAGGGAAGTGACAGTTGAGATAGGATTTAAATTGAGTTTTGAAGGATAGGTAGAATTCAGATTGAGGAGAATAGCATAGACTGTAGAAAAGAGAAGGAAGGAACATTTAGTAAATCATTGTTACGCATTTCTAGGAAAAGGTGCAATGAGGTCAGGGTTATAGTTTTGATTCATGCATGAGCCAGTCAATTTCATCTTGTTTCATGGATCTTTGAGCCTAAGCTGTCACCTTGAACATGATGGTTGTAAGAATGATCAGATCAGATAAGTATCTGGTTCGGTACAAATCTGCTACTGAAAAACCAACTCAACACTGGTAAGTCAGTAATAATGATTTTCATATATGTAGGAGAACATTGAAGAGTTTTATAAAAGTAATTTTTTTATGTGAACTTGAGATTCCTTCACTATAAGTACTCAGCATAAGTAGGCATGCATTGTTTCTTGAATTGGACAAATGTGATTGGAAACCAAATGTCTTTTTGAGGGTAGCCAGACCCAGGTTTTCTGGAATAAACTTTGTCTTCGTGTTGATTTAATTTGCATCTCAAAAGGGTGCTTCCTCTTGTGCTAGTTGGATCACAAGAACGGTCATTCCTGAGTGCTGTCCTCTCTGAAAACCAGAGGTGGAGTATGGAGTTTACTGTCAGCTTTTAATGAGCTATATTGCTAGGTGGGTTTCTTGACCCAGTTGGTGGGAAGGACTGCTCGCTTCGGAGCCATCTCATCTCTTGCCAGTTTATACCCCCCCCCACCCCCCCCGTAGAATCATAATGGTGTTCAGTGGAGTTAAGTTGCAGGGTTTTGGAACTCTTATTTCTTCTCCCTTCCCCGATTTCTAGGGTATAGCACTTCTTGATACATTCGGAAGTGAGTGCAGGTAATAGCAATAGCTTACCCAGTGGTTCAGCCCCGAAACTCCCCTTAGGTTTTTGTTTTTGTTGATTGTTTTTCCTGTCGGTCCTACTACTCTGAAAGATTCACAGGCCCAACTAACTTTAATGTCTGTATTAAAAGAAATAATTTTGGTTATAACTCCTGAGAGAGAATGGAATATGCCTAATGCTATTTAGGTTAAGCCAAATTCAGTTGAATTAATTTGGTGAAATAACACGTCTTACTGCTAATCCTGATCTATCCATTTTACTTTGTGCGTCTTTAGTTTGGATCCTCCTAGATAAGAGAACAAAAGGTTTATTTAGAAAGATACAAAGATCGGGGCGCCTGGGTGGCTCAGTCCTTGGGCGTCTGCCTTAGGCTCGGGTCATGATCCCGGGATCCTGGGGATCAAGCCCCGCCTCAGGCTCCCTGCTCTGCGGGAAGCCTGCTTCTCCCTCTCCCACTCCCCCTGCTTGTGTTCCCTGCTTGTGTTTACTCTCTCGCTGTGTCTCTGTCAAATAAATAAATAAAATCTTCAAAAACAAAAAGAAAGATACAAAGAAATGAGGAGAAATCAAGATAATTTTAGAATGAAAATACATTCAGTGGTACTGTTATCATTAGACATCAGAAAAGAATCTCTGTTGGGGTGCCTGGGTGGCTCAGTCGGTTAAGCATCTGCCTTTGGCTCAGGTCATGATCTCGGGGTCCTGGGATTGAGCCCTGTGTTGGCTCCCTGCTCAGCAGGGAGTCTGCCCCCCGCCCCCCCCCCAGCGCTCTCTGTTTCTCTCTCAAATACATAGAAATCTAAAAAAAAAAAAGAATATTCTAGAAGTAGCTATAGATTTAGGAATTTCTCTTATGAAAATTGTTTTCCTATTTACAGTGAAAATAATTTTAGTAAAATTTGAATTTTAAAATAAGAGAATTTGATTATATGCTTTAAAACGCTTAGGGTTTCAAGTTTACATGTGTTGGGTAAATGGCATTGTGTATTTTTGGGTAACTTAAAATTATTTTCAAAACACAGCAGAAGCTTCTACCTCACCTGACTGTCCTGTTGAGAGACAATGTGAAGCCAAGACTGCTGGAGATACTATGCTACATTGAGGGATGACTGAGTAGTACCATAGAAGGCTGTGTCATGCGATGTAAAGGTGTCATTCCATCCCCACACTACCCTACCCCCCTTTTAAATCAAGGCCAGAGAATATTACCTGAGATTGCATCTGGTAGAGTATTCATTAAATGGGTGAGATAAATCATATGCAGAGCAAACTACTTTTGATGTTGATGAGACTAGGGTGATTCTTAAGTGTTTTATGGAGATCAGAGTATCCAAATCCAGACAAGAGACCAGTGTAATTAAGGACTGCCAAGGTATTACTCACCTCTGAGGCTCTGCCTGAAGGAACTAACAGGCTTGTCTCTCTCTTTCACATCTCCTTATTATATCACCTTTGATCTAATAAGATGTCATCCTTGTCAATCAGTAATGTTACCTGCTTTGGTTCTTTACCAGGTGCTATACAAGTGATTATCATTGTGCTATGCTTGTAATGACTCTAATACAGGAAAACTTTTTTTAAAAAAAGATTTTATTTATTTGAGACCGAGAACGCACTTGCGAATGGGTGGAGGGGCAGAGGGAGAGGCAGAGAATCTCAGTGGAGAGCCTGAGGTAGGGCTGGATCTCAAGACCCTGCGATCATGACCTGAGCCAAAACCAAGAGTCAGACACTTAACCAGCTGAGCCACCCAGGTGCCCCAAATACAGGAAAACTTTCTAACCATCCCATAGTAAGAGTAGCTAAAAAGTACATCTCATTTTTTTTAATTAAAAAAATTTTTTTAAGTACATTTCTTAAAAATTTCGTGATTCTTAAAACTCTAAGCTTACTGACCTCGCTTTTTAAGTTGCATGATTCATAGGAAGATCACAGAGCAGTGTCCAAGTAATGTTAGTAGTTTATTGAACTTGGGGAAGGAATTTAGTGTTTTGAGCTGGGCTGGAGAGGTTTTCCTTATTAGATATCTTATATTCTCCTATTGGTGACTCACCAGCTAAAAAGTCTGCTTGATTAGCATCTATCTGGTACTGTGTGGCAGTTGTTTATTAGATATTGCTTG